CACCACCATCCTTTTGAGGCCATTTTCTTATTTTACACAATGAGTTCCATTTTCCAAAGGAATCTGAAAAAGGAAAAAGTAATGGTGTGTTTCTGTGCCTGTGTCTGTGTGTGTGTTTTCACAATGGGTAATGGTTCACTTTAAAAAGTAGCTTTCAAAGCTCTTTTCATCTTATATTGTCACTAAAATCCTTTAAAAATGCAGTGAATCTCCATTCAGAGATCCACTATTTTCATCTGTTCCTTTTTCCTTCAGCAGGAACAAATCTTGGCAGCTTTCCAATTCTGTGTGAAATGCTCACCCTTTTTTTTGTGGACTATTGTTTTCCACTATCTGCCCAATATCTAAAATAACCTTTTGCTTCCATCTTAGAAACTGTATGGAGCATTTGGTGGCTGACATCTTAACCCTGAGCAATTAGAATATTAGTTAGCATTCCGTGATGCCCTGACTTCACAGGAACATAGTCAGCGATGCAGACTGTTTTGCAGAAAGACAGAAAATGGTTATTATTTTTTTTCCAGTTGCAGCAGGGCAATCAGACAAGTTACATTTACAGCTACTTTGCAGTCCTGGCTGGACTTTCAGCTTTCATCACATGGGGGGGGGGGCAAGAAGGGATTTGAAAATGCTGGCATGTGGTTCCCCAATTCAGCAAGAAATTTGACAGAAACTCCCCTGTCTTTGGCTGTAAGGATGGCCTCGAAGGAAGCTTGCTGGCAACTTTGCCTTCATGATCCCCTTGCCCTGAAGCCCTGTAGAAACATTCACTGAGAACGGAGTCACTAAGGCAATTGCTTGAGGTGACAGGAGGCTGGGAATCGTAGCTCCTTTGCAGCCCCTTCCTGTCCGCAAGGTCCCAGCTGCCCTGTAGAAGCAGAGCTGCTGCTGAGCACCCCCCCAGAACCCACCTGTCGTGTCACTTGCTGCTCGGCTCACCCTGCTTCCTCTGGATGAATGAGGTGGGGGATGCATCCTCTGTCCCACACTTGTGCTGGTGGAGGGCCAGGGGACCATCACAGCTGCAGATTTTGTTTCCTTCAGCCAACGGGCCAGCGGGCAGGAGCCAGCCATGAATGCCATCTCCTCCTCCTCTTCCTGTTTCGATGCCAGCTGTTGTCTCTCTGCAGAAGCAGAAAGGAAAAGGCGTGCTGAGATGTTGATGTCCATCTTCTGGAGGGGAGCTGTATGTGGCAGCCACCGCTTCTTTCTTCGGTCTCTGTTTGTGTGTGTTTGTGTGTGTGTGTGTGTCAGTCTCACATAGCCTTCTGCCTCAAGCAGAGGAAAACTTTGGGCTACCCTGGTGAGGAGCCTCAAGATAGTTTTAGTTTTAATTATACTAAACTGGAAGTATCATCAACTGTGTTTCGATGGTTGGCTTCTAGATTGGGAAGGACTTTGTGCAGCAATTAAGCTCACCTAGTGAATGGTCTGGAAGGCAGAGAGATGACAGGAAAAACAAGCCTTTTGCCTCAAGCAGTGGAAAACTTTGGGCTACCCTGGTGAGGAGCCTCAAGATAGTTTTAGTTTTAATTATACTAAACTGGAAGTATCATCAACTGTGTTTCGATGGTTGGCTTCTAGATTGGGAAGGACTTTGTGCAGCAATTAAGCTCACCTAGTGAATGGTTTGGAAGGCAGAGAGATGACAGGAAAAACATTCAGGGCATGCATGCCCCTTTCAGATTTCTCTGGTACTTTGAACATCTTCAGTTTTTGAAAGAACACCTGAGAACAGTATACTTCGGTGGCTAAATACTGAACTGACCTCTCTTCATGCCCAGATGCTGAGATATATTTATGGATTGACAGATGGTGGCTTCTCTACGACAGGAAGGAAGGGCAAAACTGTAATTCATGTGGAAACTCCCGAGAATTTTAGCTTTTTAAAAATCAGGATCAGACAACTTGCAAAGCCTTCCACTGGAAAGGATGACTTTAATGGGAGTGATTTCCTTCAAAATGGGGAATTGGTCCACCGGGACAAAACTAGAAGCCTTACAGCTGGACCAGAAAGGGGGTAGACTGGAGCACCTTTCTCTGTGTGTTGTGTGATTGCCAGGAACAGACTGGAGCACCTTTCTCTACATGTTGGGCGATTGCCAGGAAACAGATCTCAGCAGACTGCTTCCCATCTGCTTCCCCATGGGATTTGGATTAGGGTCATAATGTGACTGTTTTGCATCGGGGGGGGGGGGGTGAGGTTTGGTAGATCAGGACTGTCCTGTTCCAGGTTCAAACACGATTAGTTTGTGGCTTCTGTGAGTTGTCTCTATCGTACTGGTGGAAGTTCGTTTACCCTAAAGTCTCACTTATCAAAAGATGTTTATTAGAGCACTTGATAATAGTGGCCAGCATCATATAATGTTTTCATGCTAGCATAAGGCAGTTGCTATAAGTCTTCATGGTGAGGGGACGCCAGTGAGGAAGTCAATGTGTTGTTCTTGTTGTTTAGTTGTTAAGTCGTGTCCAACTCTTCGTGACCACATGGACCAGAGCATGCCAGACCCCCCAGCCTTCCACGGCCTCCCAGAGTTGTGTCAAATTCATGTTGGTTGCTTCAATGACCCTGCCCAACCATCTCATCCTCTGTCGTCCCCTTCTCCCCTTGCCTTCGCACTTTCCTAACATCAGGGGCTTTTCCAGGGAGTCTTCTCTTCTCATCAGATGGCCAGAGTACTGGAGCCTCAGCTTCAGGATCTGTCCTTCCAGTGAGCACTCAGGGTTGATTTCCTTCAAAGGAAGTCAATGTAGGCATTTCTTATTGCGCCCAGAGGCAAATCACGGACACTCTGTTGCCTCATGGTGGTGAATATAACTAATAGAAATCTGCCTCCTGTCTGGTATGGCATTAACATCTTCAGAACCTTTATATTTCAAGATGCAACCTTCTAGGGCCTTACGCTTGCGTGGATCCAGCTGAGTGGGCCCATGAACTTGTTGCCTCTGGTGTGGGGACTGGTCAGGCGCATTTGGGACTCCGACTGTGGTGCCACGTGCCTCGTAAGTGCGCAAAGGTGGACTCGTATGCGTGTGTTTGCTGAACCCAGAAATAAAGAGTTCTTTCCCGGAGGTGTAGCGTTCAGACAGCTAATTGAGCGAAGTGTGCTAGCAAAGTGGAAAATTACTTCCTTCAAATGAGGACCATTATCTCCCAAACAATGGCAAGAGTGAGTAATACAGGCTTTCTTCTGCCGCAGTGTGTTTTACAGAGCAGAAGGCTTAATGAGGATACCAAGCCGCTAGCACATGGACCGGCACAACGCTCCTAATATCAATAACAAAGAGAGAGAAAGGCAGAGGTGTGATGAGTGTTTGCCAAATAAGAGGCAGGGAAAGCTCTGGGGAAAAAGCATGGCAGGGGATGGGAGGAGGTAAATGGGGGACTGGAGGGTAAGTCCCACAAAGTAGGCCATGCACGGAAGCAAACAGATTGAGCTCTGGAAGTGTTAGGAAAAAAGAGGAGAAATCAGAAACAAAAGAGTTGTACAAGGACTTTGCTTCCGGTTCATAGAATCAAAGAGTCATAGGATAATAAGGAGTTGGCCATCCAAGTCCTGCTCAAGGCAGGGATCCAGGTCAAAGCAGATCTGACAGAGGGTTGCCCAATTTTTCTCTTGAAGGCCTCCAGCGTTGGAGCGCTCACCACCTCCTGAGGTTATGGGTTCCGTTGTCGTACTACTCTAACAGTTAGGAAGTTTTTCCTGATAATTCAGCCTAAATCTGGCTTCCTCCAACTTGAGCCCATGGTTGCCTGTCCTGCACTCTGGGATGATCAGCAACAGATCCTGGTCCTCCTCTGGATGACAGCCTTTCCAGGGTGGGGTCAGTTCTATGCATAGTATGTGAAAGAGCCCCAGGCTCAGCCTGGATAGCATCCCCAGGCCATGTTGAGAAAGACTCCTGCCTAACACCTGGGATGGCAGCTGCCAGTCAGCATACAGAGCGTACCGTTTGAGAGAGGCCGGCCGTCGCCTCTGCATCCTTGGTGGCTCCTGGGCAGAACTACTGAGCACCCCTTCCTCACTTTGGAGGTCCGCTTGTCTCCTGGTGATTTGGTGACCGTAAGCAGTCTCTTGAGCCCGTGAATCTCAACAGGTTTTTAACACAGAATGTTCTGAAGTCTGCAGGAGGCCCATTTCTTTCTCCCTCCTCTGTCCATGGGGCGAAGTAAGTCAGCTCCGGCAAACTCCATATCCTTTGGGTTCTGGATTCCAGAGTCAGTCTGTTAGCGTAGAAAGTCGGGGTGAGCCACTGCAGTAGATTTGGGAGTCGGTTTCGCACTGCCTGATCTTCTCGTGAGTTGTGTGCATGTGTGTGCATACACCCCCCCCAAAAAAAAACCATCAAGGCCCAGCTGCCACTAGGAGTGAGTGAACCAACAAAGCATACATTTGCCCCGAAACAAGAGTTCTTGAGGAGGCAGCACTTTGTTTTAGAGAAGAGAACTTTGCTTCTGGATGCATCCCATAAAGTATGACCTTCCTCAAAAACAAGATGCCCATCCCTGCTCCGTGAAGAGATGGATGCTTTTCCTCGTTCTTTTTTTTTTTTCTATTTTAATTTACTACCAAGGGACTGAAATCTGCTCACCTGTCCCTTTGGGAATGAACTAAAAACAGCTGCGATGTTGCTGAACCCTCATCGTAAGCCCTGAGACACTGCCTAAAATGAAAAGTGTCTTTGCCGTAGCCCAGTTGATGCCTAGTTTTGGTGCACTTGTGGACTCATCCACACACTGTCTTGGGATGTATAATTGGGAGGCAGGATCAAATGCAGTCCCTGGTATGGTCCACAGAAGCAGAAGGTCTTCTCTCTCTCTCTCGTGATGGATCCTTCCAACCTTCTGCATTCAAGGCACCCCACATGCAGAGGCAGAGGGCTGGCAGGATTCGTGAAGGGTCCTTTTCCAGCCCTCTGTCTCACACCTTGTGGGATGTTTCACCCGGTGGTGCATTCAACAGAATTTTATTTCTCCCTCCCTCCCTCTCTCTCTCTAGATATGATTCCTCTCTCCTTGAGCTGGTGGACGCCATGAGCCCAGGGCTGCAGCATCAATATGGCGAGGGTTGCAGCCACCACCGCGTGTTTGCGCAGCAGCAGAGCGGGAAGCGGAGGAACTTCGGTTGGAGTTTGAGCCCTTCACGCAGCACCCGACGTGGGACGGCAGAGTTAGAAGAGAGCCGGATCCTGGAGGAGATTTTTTTCATCTGATAGGCCCAGCGCTTCCCACTCCCTTGACAGAATCAAGGCTCTTCCTTCCCTTTCTTATGTGGGCGTGTTTACATGTCAATATCATTTTTAAATTATTCAATTGACGAATGATTGTCTCCTCTCTCCTCCCCCCACCCCTTTCAGAAAATTAACACGATGGGTCCCATGTCTAATTTCCAAATCATGTTACAAAAGCGTCTTTCTTTTCTTTTCTTTTTTTAAACCAATGGAGCCAGAATGTTGGTGGAACATTTTGGGGCTCTTTTCATGCACTGGTACAAGGGGGGGAAATTTAAAGGATAAAAAAAATTCATGCTATTGTGGAAAAGGATTTTCATTATTGATTTTTGTTTTGTAGCTGTGCAAATCAGTTTTTCCAGAACGTCATCTCCCACTAACTGACTCGCACACAAAAGCGCATTTCAGCTATGTAATTTTCCAGTTCCAAAGTGGCCTGTTAAAACTGCACGTCCTACATACAGGAGTAGCTAATGAGTTTCTAGAACCTTTCATCATCTTCTGCAGTGGGCCCTTTAAGTGACTTGTAGGCAGACGACCTGCTCCTCCTCTCAACCCTAATAGATGTTTTCCCATGACTGAATCTCTTATAAAATGTGCCTCTTTTTTAATTTGATTTTAATTTTTTTAAAAAGTGAAGGGTGTATTAACACCTAGAATAACTGCTAGGGTAGTGTGAGCTGCTGTCCTAAGAAAGCATGAGCACCTTGACCATCTCAATGGCTAAAATTTTCTCCCCCCCTCCTTGCGGCTGGGGAACAAGATCAGTGGAGGGAGTGTTTTCTCTGACTGAATCTCTTTTCCCGTTTTTAACATTCTGCCCACTCCCCAGTATTGTAAATAAAGACAAAGCAGTAATTATTTCTCCTCCATACTTATAATGCATCTTCCTCCTTCTGGGTTTAATTATTGATGCTGTATCTATTTCAGTTTATTTTTAAAAGATGCTTTCCCCACCTCCACTCCCCCCCGCCACTGCACACTTAGCTATTTAAAGAAACCTATGGAATCGGTAAAGATGGCTGCAGATGGCAGGATCCACAGAGAGGCTCTGCGTAATGTAATATTTACACATCGTCAGAACAGTCGTCCCTGTCGCGACTTCCGAGCCATACGGTGTCCAGAGGCCAGGCGAGGAGAGCGCTTTTTCTCCTTCCAGATGGGCTGCTTGTGGCAAAGGGTGGTCAGTGCTTAAGGGGGGGGGGGAACCTACGCTTTCCGATCTGCCCTTGGGGCACTTTATCCTAGCCTCCTCCACCCATGTGCCGGCAGCTCCCCAATGAGAGAGCAGAGGAAAGTGTTGAGGAGTTCTGTCCAGAACAGAATCGGGTCTGCCCTTTGCTGGCTTGGACCCCAGGTGTGTGGGGGGGAGGCGGAGGGCTCTGCCCTCAAGAGGTCACGAGGTGGCGTTCCTCAAGGCAGAGGAGGGGGAGGCTAAGCACCCCTTCCCAGGCCTCAATGTTACGTTCCAGTGGTAGCCGGTTGCGGGGTCTCGGAGGCACTCTGGATTGCCAAGCAGAGCCAAACTTAATAATCGAAGGGGGTCAAGAGCTGCCTGGGCACTCCAGATTTAATTGTGCAGCGTGCGAACCTCTTTTGCATTACAACCATCGCAGGTCAAAATCGGAAATGCTGAACTCATGAATATACTGCAGGCTTTAAACGGGTTTGGTGCTAACTCACCAGAGGATTGCTCCCTTGAGTTTTTGTCAATTTCAGTTTCTGCTCTGGCCTTACCTCTGACATCTCTGTCATTGCAGCCGCTGGCTGCGAATAGCCAGTTGTTCTCCTGGGGCTGCGTCTCTCGCCACCCAGCCACTCCCATAGCTGCCTTTTTCATGCTTCTCCTGTTTTAAGTATAGAAATTACAGAAAAGGAGGGGAACGAGGCTATGATAAAACAAAAGGACCCCTTCTGAAACCTTTGTTTTTAGATGGCCCCACGGCTGGGGCTAATTTTTGCCTTTTAATTTCTAATCACCTTAGGGTGGCCCAGTTGTCATTCCACTTGCCTGTTTTAAAAAGCTCCAATTCTCCATCCTTAAAAGGTGCCTTTGGGTTTACATTCCAGAGCTCTTGCGCTGGAGTGATTTTTTTTTCATCTCCAGTTCTTAGCTGGTGCCAATATTTAACCTCTTTTAATATTGAATTGGGGATTTTTGATAAAGCTCTTGATAAACAAGTTGGATTAGCGCTGTTGATTTTTTTTTTTAATGTCAAATTGTACCTTGGTCGTTAATGTCTCTTGAAAAGAAGCAGTGTCGGGGAGTTCAATTATAAACTCTACATTTATGGTAAACTGTCTGAGGCACTTTTAAATGAACAAAACAGAACTTAGTGATCAAGGGGGTGAAAGATGACTTGTATTAGGTGACCAGGAACTCCCGATTTAATTATGTAAAGTTCCGAATGAGTAAAGCGGCCGACATTTTGGTATATACGTGAAGATTCGTGTGTGTTCAATGGGGAATGTACCTATGACCCCCTGTCGTTGTGCATGTTGGCAGAATCGTCTGGGAATGTTTATCATTGCCCAGTCAGTCTGCATAACCTCCGGGTGTTGTTGGCAACACCATTCACATGTAAAGCAGTGAATGTGCGGCTACAGAGAGGAGTATGCAGAATGACTGAGTTTCCAGTGTTCATTCGAAGTCTGCAAATTTCCTAGCATGCTATGGAAAGCGCAGTTGACTGTCTGGTGAGTGTTTTTGCCTTCTTGTGTGTGCACGTTCTCGTGTTAGGGGGAGTGTGCATGACAAACGGTGTTTGTGTACAACTTCTGCATTGGAGGTTTGTAGCCCACGATGTGCATCGGCCCTCCAGAAACCCAGCGTGGGCAACTCTTCCTTCGCTGCCCTCTTGGCTGCTGTGCTTAACGGTAGAATCCCTGTTTTGCAACCAATGCAAAGGGTGTGTGTGTTAATCACAACATATTATAAAATCATGAGAAACCTATATGGGCTCGGAGCAGGGAGTTTGGGTAGAGGGGCAGGAGTCGACCGCTGTCAAATAGAGAAGGATTTAAAAAAATCAGTGGTCATAGACAACCAAACTTTATTTTTCCTGCCACTACAACAACAGAATCAAATCTTTAAATGAGGGGAGAACCCTCTTGGCATTGTCCCTATAAATTAAAAATCTTAAAGTCGAAACTTGATGGTGCCAGCAAGGAAGGGAGAAGGGGTTCCCTCTTCAGGGCTTTATTGGACCAGAGTGGGTGTGGAGTGACTTTTCTTGTGCCATGTTCTTTTTTTCTTCTCCTACCTTGGGTTTCTTTGTGCCTCAGCCGCCTCTTGGCGCCTCCTCGCCTGCTGTTGCTCCCCTTCCTCTCGTGTGCACTTTGCAAGCAACGGATGGGTAAAACCATTGCACATTCCACACCCTCCCCTTTGTTGGGTCTCCTTGGGAAATGCTACCTTAAACTTGACTGGGTCTTTTTAAATATAAACTTGTGTGATGTTTTAACTTAATAAATTATCAAGATGGATTCCTCCTCATTCCTTCTCTGAGTTTTTCTTTCTCCCTGCCTCTCTGGCTCGGTTTCTGCAGAACCCACAGTTCTGGGTGGCTGCCCTGGTGTTGAAGCGCAGATTTTTAACCCAGAGAAATTTCTGCAGATGTTTCTTGAAATGTTTTCAAGTGCTTCACACTGTTACCGGCTGAGACACATATAGTGACCAGCGCACCAGATGGGTCAAAGAATGGGTCAGACGTCTGGAGGCACTCGCTGATCCTCTTTCATTGCAGCTACGCGGAGCTAAGTTACTGCCTGGACTGATGTTCATCAGGTAACCTTGTTGTTGTTGTTTAGTCGTTAAGTCATGTCCGACTCTTCGTGACCCCATGGACCAGAGCACACCAGGCCCTCCTATCTTCCACTGCCTCCCGGAGTTGGGTCAAATTCATGTTGGTGGCTTCGATGACACTGTCCAACCATCTCGCCCTCTGTCGTCCCCTTCTCCTCTTGCCTTCACACTTTCCCAACATCAAGGTCTTTTCCAGGGAGTCTTCTCTTCTCATGAGATGGCCAAAGTACTGGAGCCTCAGCTTCAGGATCTGTCCTTCCAGTGAGCACTCAGGGTTGATTTCCTTCAGAACGGATAGGTTTGTTCTCCTTGCAGTCCAGGGGTCTCTCAAGAGTCTCCTCCAGCACCACAATTCAAAAGCATCAATACTTCGGCAGTCATCCTTTATGGTCCAGCTCTCACTTCCATACATCGCTACTGGAAAAACCATAGCTTTGACTATGTGAACCTTTGTCAGCAAGGTGATGTCTCTGCTTTTTAAGATTCTGTCTAGGTTTGTCATCGCTTTCCTCCCAAGAAGCAGGCGTCTTTTAAGTTCGTGGCTGCTGTCACTATCTGCAGTGTCCATGGAGCCCAAGAAGGTAAACTCTCACTGCCTCCAGATCTTCCCCTTCTATCTGCCAGGAGGTGATGAGACCAGTGGCCATGATCCTAGTTTTTTTGATGTTGAGCTTCAGACCATCGACATGGCCATAGAGGCCCCTTTCAGCTTCATGATTCTATGACTCTGTCACTCTTCTGCCTGTTTTCCTTTCTATATTTTCTGAACCTTATGGTATGCTAGACTTTCTGTCTTTCTGGACAAAATACATGAAGTCATGCTCTTGTGTTTCCTCGTTGGCCACATAATTCAAGCCACTGGCTGGAGAGTCCAGAAATCAGCCAGTGTTGAGGCATTCAAGGATAGGGGCTCCTTTGCTGACCCAACCTGGGAGCATAGCATAGGCATCCTTCAGTCTCGAGAGACCATGGTAACGTGCTCTGTACCGAGGAGTGTCCTCTCCAGAGCATGAAGCCTGGGTAAAGTAATATGGAGGATAGGCTGTTACAAGAAGCGTCCTATTAATCCCATAAATGTTCCGGCCCTATTTTTCTTTTTTCATTGGTCTGACGTTTTCCCTTCCCAAATAAGTGTGTTTGAGGCCCCAAGACATGATGTGAAATACATTGTTATCTCTGTTTTACCTTTTGTAAATAAGAAACCAGAAGTGGGAATTTAAGCCTCTTAAACCTCCTTGTGCCATTTTCTTGCTGAAAAAAATTACATTCGTTCGTTCGTTCATTTCTTTCTTTCTTTCTTTCCTTCTTTGAAAAAATTACATTCGTTTGTTCGTTCGTTCATTTCTTTCTTTCTTTGTTTTATCTCACCTTTCTCCTTAGGAAAAGGACCCAAGGTGGCTTACATGATTAAAAACATATTTAAAAAAACAGTAAATTATTCAAATACAAAATAAACTTTATCGGAAAGCATTACAGAAACAGATTTGAAAGCAACCAGAAAATGCAAACCCATTCTGACACCCCTCTTAGACAGCCAGTCACCAAGGAAAAGCCCACATTTCCAAAGCTATTTCAGCCCCCAAAGTAGCCAGTGACTACATTACCGCTTATCCTCAGCACTCTGGTCAAGATTCATGGGGGGTGGGCGGGCTTTGCACTCTTGGTGTGGAGGCTTAAGAGAGAAAGCGGCATGTTTAACATCACGTTAGTTTTGCCCAGGGAAAAGGAGCCTTTTTTCCCTTCTGGCTTACACATGAGTGCAGTAAACTTGCATCAGGCTACATTGATTTAGCTCTCTTCATATATACATATATCTATATCTATATATCTATATGGAAAAACACAACACGTTAATATGGTTTACCATTTCCAAAGTTATATACAGGATATATATATATATATAAAACGATATTAATTTGTTGTGTTTTTCCAAAGGAAAATTATTTATCGGGAGGCATTTTTAAGCTCGAGTGCTCAAGGCCTCTAAATCATCATAATAAATTTGTGCTATTCAAGCGTTCTTACATTGTAATAAATTTGTTTTAAACATGAATGAGAAGATCCATGATTTCTTTAATATACGGTTATGTATTTCCTTTCAGAATGACATGGCTCCGTATATCAACTGGGAGAATAATGGTAGGAGATTTACAGTATTTAAAAATAACTTTGCCAAGATATGGGATATGTGAACCAGCTTCCGGGGTGGGGAGGCATTGGGAAATGAAAGGGGGAGCTGCTCCACCCAGTCTTAAACTTGGAACAGGACACGGGGGGTTGCATGAAGACGATGGTGGCGTGGTTGGTCATCCTCTCCTGTCGCGAGAAGCTGCCCAGTTTTCCTTCTCTCCCAAAAGAATCTGACTGTCGTCTTTCTCCTCTCTCCCCTTGGAATTCTCAGACAACTCAATGTTATAGTTTAAGGAATTTCTACCTTGCCTTTCAATAAAACGACCATGGTGGCTTATAGAATTCCAAAACATTTTTATTTTATTTTAAAATTAAGAGCCCTATTTTAATGAAGGCTGATCGCAGAAGAATTGATGGTTTCGAATTGTGGTGCTGGAGGCGACTCTTGAGAGTCACCTGGACTGCAAGGAGAACAAACCTATCCATTCTGAAGGAAATCAACCCTGAGTGCTCACTGGAAGGACAGATCCTGAAGCTGAGGCTCCAGTACTTTGGCCATCTCATGAGAAGAGAAGACTCCCTGGAAAAGGCCCTGATGTTGGGAAAGTGTGAGGGCAAGAGGAGAAGGGGACGACAGACGATGAGATGGTTGGACAGGGGCACTGAAGCGACCAACATGAATTTGACCCGACTCCGGGAGGCAGTGGAAGACAGGAGGGCCTGGCGTGCTCTGGTCCATGGGGGTCACGAAGAGTTGGACACGACTTAATGACTAAACAATAACATTTTAATGAACCTCGTGGCACAGTGGTCAAACTGCAGTACTTCACCTTCCGAGCTCAGTGAATTGACTACCCAGCTTACTGAAATTGGAGGCCATGTATATCCTGCATAACTGAAATCATAAAACCACACAGAGAGTGCTTTAAGCTCTATGGGACAATATATAAGCAGCACACTTTGCTTTTACTAAACAGCCATAAAATAAAGAGTCATCATTTTTAGCACTGCAGAGGTAGAAGGAACCCTATGGAATATTGAGCCCTGCCCCAGTCAAAAAGACCGGGGAGGGGATCAAACTCCCAACCTTTGGCTCTGCATCCAGAGGCCTAAAGCACTGAGCTGTGTCCAGCAGTTACAGGCAGTGATTAACTCCTTGTAACAGGCAGATGACCGCCAACCACATCATCTAAGGTGCACAAGAGATCCGATGGAATTAAATGGCCTGAAGTATTGTGGGCGTTTTTAACTTCGCCTTGTACAGAATGGTTCATAAAGCTTGTTGCCTCCCTTAAGAGAGTGTTTCAGATTTGGTTTGGGAATCTTAAATGGCTTTGGACTACAATTCTCTTAATACCACAGTTAGTTGGGAGCTATCATCCCAAAAAAGGGAACATGCCCAAGATTTGGATGGAGGACAGTGAGCGGCCCAGGCGTATCGCATGAGAAAAGAGTGTTTTTTTTTTTTTAGGGGCAGAGCCCAGCTTGCAGGTGGGCAAACCGTGAGGAGGCTGGCCTCCAACTCCTGGTGTACATTATGCTGAAATATGTAGCAACCTGGCATCCTATGTATGAAAAAAAAACTTTTTTATTCACTTGTTCTTAAACTACCGGTCAACAGTAGGGATGGGCACAAACTGCTGCTTTGGTAGCTTGTGCGGGTTCGTCCTTCAGACAAACGGGTGGTCGGTGGTTCCCAGCCCTGCCTCCTCCAGCAGCTGCCCGCTTAGAGGCAGCATCCTGGCTTTCCTGCCCCGATTCCTCTGGGCGCTGCCTCTGAGTGAGTGCCCACCGGAGGAGGAGGGGCTGGGAAGTGCCAAACACCCGTTTGTCTGAAGGACGAACTGGCATGAACCACCAAACCAAGAGTCCGTGCCCGTCTCGAGTCTACATCTCTCTTTTCTTCCCACCACTAGGTGCGTAACCTTCTCTCCTCTGAGGCATGGTGTGTTCAGTTAGTCCTGGTGGCTCATCCTTCATCTTGCAAAGCAGACGTTAGGACCAGTTCTCTCCTCGGCCACGAGAGAGAGAAAAGCTGTTTTCTGCCATTTTAACAGATTAAATGATCCTTCTTTTTACCACCAGCAATCCCATGTCTTCATTTCCGAGCACACCATTTGGTGTGTAAATATGGACAACTGGTGGTGTGTTCACACTCATCCATTGTCCCTGCGCATCTACCACGCCACACCGCCAGTTCTCCCATTCCCTTGACCTCCTTTTTCCCTTCCCTCTTCCTCCCTTTTGTTTTCTTCTTTCAATTCTCAACATGTCCGCTGCAAGCTTCTTGAGGCTTGGAACTTGCATTCCTCTTTATTTGCTGAAACTCTGCGAAGCAACACATTTGTATTGCAATACTCTTCAATTAACATAACAGATTTGAACCATGTTCACCCTCTCTAAAAGATTCCTGGAGCGACTTGCAGAGGTGAATAAGGAGAGGGCCCCCTGCCTTCATCAGCAGCAGCATAGGTAAAGGTAAAGGTTCCCCTTGACCAGTCGTGTCCGACTCTAGGGTGTGGTGCTCATCCCCGTCTCCAAGTCATAGAGCCAGTGTTTGT